CTCCTTGGTTGAGGACATCTTACGTTTGTTTTAGTAGTAGAGACTCTGACAGGACTTAAACATACAGTACAAATAAATATGAAGATGCCATATCCAGCACAATGTTTCAGACTTTCAGTGAATCACCTTGTAAGTGACCTATGTTTATTTATTTATTGTTTCTCTCGACTCATTTGTTCAATTCCTTTTCTAATACCTTTTCCATTCAAAAGGTCCATGTTTCAGGTGTTGTTGTGCTGGTGATTTTCAGTTAGGTCCAATTTATGTCAAGGACCCATATCCTCTTAGAGAGGAGGAAAGCTCCGATGTAATGGAATTCAGGTCTGTAAAATAGGAGAACTTCAAAGCTTTATAAATTGAATAATGCCGATGTCATTATGCTAGGCAGTTTAAGCATAACATCGCATTCGATTATGGTTTATTTCAGTTAACATTTTGAATCTCTAAGTGCTTTGGTTTATTTGGTTTGTTAACACCTTGGTTGTTTAACAACCCTTGAGCTTAAAATTTCCAAAGAAGAGATTCAAAATGTGTGTTAAATTCGATTCAAAATGTGTGTTAAACTATGGCACTGAATGCAGATATGTTATGCTTAAACTGCCTAGCATAATGACATCGGCATTATTTAATTTATAAAGCTTTGAAGTTCTCCTATTTTACATACCTGAATTCCATTACATCGGAGCTTTCCTCCTCTCTAAGAGGATATGGTTCCTTGCCATAAATTGACCTAATCGAAAAATCACCAAAGACAACAAAGACTACCTAAACATGGACCTTTTGAATGGAAAAGGTATTAGAAAAGGAATTGAACAAATGAGTCGAGAGAAACAATAAATAAATAAACATAGGTCACTTACAAGGTGATTCACTGAAAGTCTGAAACATTGTGCTGGACATGGCATCTTCATATTTATTTGTACTGTATGTTTAAGTCCTGTCAGAGTCTCTACTACTAAAACAAACGTAAGATGTCCTCAACCAAGGAGTTGGATCGACACCCGCGATATGTCGCCCTCTCTCTTATGCATCTGTTCCAACATGTGGCCCCTGCCCATGAGCGGCGCTAGGGGTATGCCCCTGTATTCCTTGGAATACCCAAGATTTTGTGTCACTACAATAAATATATCTATACAGATTTACATGTATATTGGTACATCCCGTTTTATGTTGCAAATATGGCAAAATAAGCCTAATATACCAATTAGTTATAGCAGCCCATGAAGAAACAAAGCCCAAAAATGCAGAAACCCATCGACTCACTGCCTGCCTTTCTCTGCTTCACACCCTCTCGGCATTGCTCTTATCATTTAGTTCTCGCCATGCAGAGGCAAACCACGCCAGAGGCTCGCCCAATTTGACCAATTGAAATGTTTGCCAAAGGTGGCGCCTTCTCTAAAGGTCTCGTGTCCGCCCTTCACCTCTCTAAATAAACTGGCTTGAAGCAAGGTGAGCAAGTAACAACCCAGATCGATTCTTCAGCAGGTATGAAATTTGAACTATTGAAGATTTTTTTTCTTTTTTTTGATTGTATTCTTGTAATGTAGATGAAGTAGCATATTGACATTGTGGGGAGAAAGTCATAAATTGAAAAAAAAAATAGCCTCCACATCCACACCAAATGCTACTTATGGTCCATTATATTACATATTTGCTTTGATTTTTTTTTATACGTGGTATACCCAACAGAAATCCTCGGCCGCAATCGCCTCGCCTCGTCAGAGATCGGAGTCCCATGATCGACGCCAAGCCACGCACCACGCATTGAGACACACACGACCCGTGGATGCCCATCCTACACTTGACGGGCTTGTTTGTTTGTGGATTGGCTCCACCACCGTGGCCTAGGCATCACCCCAAGGCATTGATTTTCCAAGCTCGGGTTCAGATGGTCACTCGTTCACTGGTACAACCAAATAGCCTCAACTACTCTCCGCCCCCCCACCCACCAAAACCAAAACGAAGTCACCGATTGACGCCACGATACCGCCACCGCCTGCGTGTTTTGCATCCGCCGCTAATCCTTCCTCCCCACCCACCCACCAAAACCAAAACGAAGTCATCGATTGACGCCACGTCATACCGCCACCGCCTGCTTCGTGCTTTTGCATCCGTCGCTAATCCTCTCCGCCTTCCCCCCCCACCCACCAAAACCAAAACGAGTCACTGATTGACGCCACGCATACCGGCCACCGCCCGTGCTCTTTGCATCCGTCCCTAATCCTGAGATCCGTCGACCAGACTTGCTCTCCCCAATGCCGCCGTTGAGCCGACCTGCTCTCTATCCATGCAAGTAACTCTGGGCATAATTAACCGAAGACCGAAGACCGAACCGAAAAGACCGAGACCGAGACCGAAAAGACCGAGACCGAAAAGTTCGGTCATGAGTTCGATCTGGCTCCCTAACTAACTGCAAGTATGTCGATAGAAGTTCGGTCATATGTGTTGATTAGCTGAAGTGACCGAATCGATAGTAGTTCGTAGACTTGGTTCGTAATGTCATTATGTGTGATTGTGATTTGTGATTTGTGAGAACTGAGAAAGTTGTGTGCTAGAACTTGTCATAATAATGTGTGGTTTGTTTTATATATTGTGTTGTTATTTTTTTGCCTTCAAATAGCAAGCATGCTGTTGAAAATTGTTATAAATTCTGCTATTGTTTGTGGTTGCTACTCAGGTCCGGTTAGTTCGATCGTGACCGAGACCGAACCGAACTAACCGAGACCAAACTTCCTCGGTCTTCGTTTTTTGCAAAGACCGATCGGTCCCAGGTTTCTGATGACCGAACTGACCGAATGACCGAGGAACCGAACCGATCGATTCGATCTGACCAAATGCCTAGGGTGACATGCAAGGTTGCAAAAGGCGCTAGGCGGGATCTAGGCGGTGACCCTTCGCCTAGAGCCTAGGCGCGCCTAGGCAGGCGTTTCCTAGGCGAGCCTGAGAACCACAGCAGAGGAGGGAAGAACAGAGGAGGAGGCGGCGGGGAGCAGAGGAGGCAAGAACAGAGGAGGGAGGAGATGAGGAGCTTGGCCGCTTGGGGCACGGGAAGACTCACCGCAGCGAGGGAAGAGTCCGAGCTCATGGCGGCCGGGCGTCGATGGAGCAAATCGGGGTAGCGCGACACGAGCTCGACTGGCGGTGGGAGTAGATCAGGGAGACGCGGGGCGAGCTCGACCGGCGGCGGGAGCAGATCGGGGTGGCGTGGGGCGAGCTCGACCGGAAATCGGGACGGCACGAGTCGAGCTCGACTGGCGGCGGCGGTGAGAGCTCCTGGTCCCTCTCTCTTTCTCCAACCCTAGCAGTGGGCCTATACTTAGTCAAAGAGGCCAACAAAGCAGCCCAAGCCCATCCAACCGACCAACCCTTGTCCGGTTCTCAACTTCTTCATCCCTCCATCCATTCGCACTCTCCTGCTCAGCCGCCGCTCACACCTCCGCCGCCCGACGTCTCCAGCTCCGCCCTCGCCGCTCGACGTCCCCTCCTCCCCCGGTGCCGCCCAACGTTCCCTCCTCCCTCTGCATCGCCCGACGTTCGCACCTCCGCCTCCGCCGCCCGCCCAACATCCCTACCTCCTCCACCTGACCTCCTCCCTCCGCCGGCACCACCCGACGTCCGCGCCGCCTAGGGTACCGCCTACCCCCCTAGGCGAGGCGGTACCCCTCCGCCTAGCGACTATGCGCGCCTAGGCGGGCGCGGAATAGCGCCTTGGCGAACGACAATCGCTACTACAGCTCCCAGTCCTTCACGTTATGTGTATAAAAGTTTTGTCTATATAAAGATGCGCTGTTCTCCTGCGTGTTCGAGGAAAAAAATTGTATGTTAAGCAAGTCTATATACACCTCATGCATTCTTGTCCTTGCTTCTACATGTTGCCATGGTTTCGGTTATTAACATCAAGCCTTAGATTTGTCTAGGATTCTATATATTTTTTGTCCATATCCCATCCAGGATAGGCAGCTATTGATGCTATAACATTTTCCCTAACCTCGCTTAAGTGTCAAACAGTCTGAACTCTGGAGGTACTCCGACTGCTCCAAATTGTAAGTCGTTTGGGCTTTTTTATGTATCTAGACATAACGCATATCTAGGTGCGTAGCAAAAGCTATGTACCTAGAAAAGCCAGAACGACTTACACTTTGGAAAGGAGGGAGTATTATTTAACTCTGGAGCTATTATTTACAGAGTTTGTGATCGTACAGCTTGATCTTTAAAACTTAATGCCGCTACTTCTGTTGATGATGAATTAATTCTCGTACTAAAATTAATCAAAAAGGTAGCTTTCCAATGTTTAAATAGAGTGGCAGTTTGATTAATTTACTGTTCAGACAATTTGTATGTTCCACAATTTACTCAAGGGCCTATTCGGCCTTGAACCGAATAATTTGCTCAAGCATTGCTAAACTTATTGCACGATAATTGTTTGTTGTGTAGAGAAACTTAACCGGCTAGTGTTTCCACTGACTAATAACTAATGTAGTAATGTGTTTATGAGGTCTGCAATCTCCAGGCAGGACATGGTGCCTCAATTCAGCCCAAAAGCCCTATGGAAGCCCAACTCAAAGCCTTTTATTCCAATGAAATATGCATGGCTGCTTAGCTGCTGTGGGCTGGCTGCTGCAGTAGCAGCCTCAGCAAGCTGTGCCGAGCACACCCAAACCTTTCCTAAACCTGCGAGTCAGTATGTTCACTTGTTCAGGCCTCGAGGGTAACCCGTGTTGGGCCAATGAACTTAGGCCCTTGAATCCTTTTGTGTCCACGTGGTTCCCTGACTCCAGTGTGGCGGGCGATGGGCCTTTCCCTCGCTGCTGGCAACCCCTAAACAACAAACGCAGAGTGAGAGGACGACCACCCAATCCGCAAGGAAGCGAAGCTCTTCTACTCCATCCAAATCAACTCCCTTCTCTGGTTGGGTTGAATTTATCGGGTGGTTTCTGGTTGGAAGGATTTAGGTAAAACCCTAACTCGTGCAGTGTCTACTCTCTACGCAGTTGCTTCCGATGGACGGTGCCACAGCTGCAGGAGGAAGTAGGGAACCGGCAGCCAATGGGTCCAAACCCGAGGAGCAGCAGTTTGATCCCAGCCGAAGTAAGGAGCTCCCGTCTCAACTGGCAGCTTCATTTCATTTCAGTAAATTATTCTGTATTTCTAGTTCGAACTGTAGTTTGGTTCCCGCTTTTTTCTGTATAGGAAATAGGAAATAGGAAATCATGATATCTTGCTCTCGTTCCTGGGGAATTCGGATGGAAGATTGAATTACTATTAGCTTTATGTTGGTTATCTGCACAGCAAATTATGAACATTGCATTCCCTGGAATATTGTATTTGGTAACGCTTCAAGTTCAGAATTTTTTGAAATGGTTTTGCTAGATTACTTTATGGTACTATATTGTGAGGACGGAATCTTTAGAATGTTGTCAAACTCAATGCTTAGATGTATCATTTGGCGTTATCTTGAAAAGAGCATCCACCAACTGCTCGTTTCTCAAGTCATAGTTTATTAATCTTGCAGTAGTCTGACACCTAATTGATGTTTTGAAGTGATAGGTATAGTTAAAAGGAAGGCCTTGATTAAAGATTTGGCCACGGCGTACCATGCTGAATGTATAGCATCCTGTAAAGAACTCCTGCAGCTTCAGAGAAAGTGGGAGGAGGTCCGTAGCCTTCATCTTCCAAAATCTAAACTGTAGAGAAGTATTTTCCTCCATATTGCTTATAGCACTATAATTCAAGCTTTGTTTCTTGTGTATTTGTAAGACAAATATCAGTTGATAAATTGCTACCCATTTTGCATCATTCAGTGTGGCCGCAGTTTATTTGAATTTTGATATACGAAGTCAATAAGTCAATTGAGCTGTAAAACATTCATATTGTTTTCAGAGACAGTAGCATATTGTTATGGGCTTTTAAGTGACAAGAAGAGCTGTCTAATGTGTTTGAATTACAGCGGTGCTAGATCTACTGGAATATCCTTTTGCAATCTGTGTCAAAAAAAAGTGTCCCAGACTCTTTCCTTAAGCAGAATTCATTCATCTACACATACATTCTAGCTTTTCAGTTTCTTCAGCATCCCTTTAGCTATTTAGCTACTTTTGATTGAGCTTCAGGGTCATGAGTTGACCTGTACCAGTTATTGAGAAAGATATTAATTTTAACTAGCATCCCAGAATTGTATGTGTTGTTTTACAGTAGTAAAATTCTTTGGGCAAAGTTTGCTTTTGCTTGTTAATCTTGACGGTATTTTTCCTAATGAGATATCTCAAAATGTTAATATTGATCGCAGGAACAGCACGTCGAAGCCAAAATGCCTGAAGAACCAAGATCGTTGATGATCAAGACCTCAAAGCATAGAAAGAAGTAGATTTAGGAGACTAGTTTCTTACTTTCTTTCGAAAGAACACTTTTTGGCTCTCTCAATGCTGTGATTGTTAGCTTGACAGTAAACAAGACGCAAGGAAACGTTGCCGTAAGGTGGGTTTATGCTGTAAAGCTTCATTTGCCTTTTACCGTTTGCGCTTTAATTAGCATTTTTTTCATCTTTAAATAAAGACTTAAAAGAAATACGAACATGCTGGATCCTTTTACAGTTGCATCCAATAATGAAAACAATTACATATCTCACTGATTTGCACTCGAATCGTCACAACTGTTTGTTTTCTTCAAAGATGACTCTTACAAATAATTAACCTGTAGTAATGTAGTTTCATTCAACGAAGGCATTTACTTGTATTACAATGGATTTAGCTCTAGTCATTTTGTGATCAATCTGTGTTCTCCCACTTGTTTTCACCTTGAACTGAATGCGTTTGTCTGTGCGAACCATGATCGCCATTATATTTGTGTTATTAAGAGTAACGCATCTTCGGTTTTTGAACTTCGTAGACAGATCAGTTCTGAGGACTATATTTTGAGAGATTAGTGGGGAAAAAAACTGTTATTTGATTTTTGTTAAATGTTCTCTCTTGATGGCTCGGTGCTCAAGGGCCTGTAAATCAGTAGCTAACTGAACATGTGGCTATTTTAGAAATGTGTTTGGTTCCAGGGATAATTATGGATGAGATGGGGTGGGACGATCTCAATTTCACTCGTGTTTTTTAGAAATGTGTTTGGTTCTAGGGATAATTAGGGATGAGATGGAATGGGGCGGTTTAATTTCACTTGTGTTTGGTTTTGGGGCCAACCGAGATGGGTCCATCTCCGGAGGCTCCCTGATCGGGTTGTCCCTGTCCGTAGAGATCGAGGGGATGGCCTCATCCCATATCTATGGTGTGGTCGATCTTGCACGGGTAGGCTGTTTCTCCATTATCATCGTCTCGGTTGAGCTCGTGAGTCGAGGCGACGTAGCTCCTCCTATTATCAACCAAGCTCGCGACGCCATGGCTCCTCCCCTTCTCGGCGGTCTTTCTCTTCCGAGCCTAGCCCACACTAGTGCTGAGGCACAGGGGTGAGTGGCAAGAAGATGAGACAATAAAAAAATAAAAAGAGAAATAGATAGAGAGAATGACAATTGGGGCTAGCTTGTTGGTAACTATTGCCAATATTATAAAAAAAATTATGTCCCTCAAAGTCCCTCCAAACAAACAAAAAGTTTGGAATAGACCTATATCCTCACCAAACCAAAAATAGAACTAAGACGGTCAATTCTAAAATAGGGGTAGAGCCATCCCATTCCACCTCATTTCCAAACCAAACATATGTTTAGTGTCCAGTGGTTTGTTTAGACATATGACCTGTTTGGTTCAAATTATGAGAAAATTGGCTAGCTCAGGCAACAATCTCATGCGTCTGATCAATTTTGATTGTTTACTATTGTGGTTGGATGAAGCTGTTTGGATTAGGCAACTTTCCCAACACTTCAACTAAATGGGTCATAGTGTTTAAGGTGTTCTTTGGATCTCATGATCTAAAACTTTAGACCTCTTTTAGCTCTTGATACTTGAAACATGTGGTCTAAAATTTAGCCATTCTTACAAAAACAATGTTAGTTCATTAGACCATAAAAGTGAGCTGAAGTGATGTAAAGTTTAACCCTTGACTTTAGCTAACTAAACTTTAGATCACGAGATCTAAACAAGGGCTGATAAAAGTTGTTTTCCATTTAGAGCTAGTTAGTAGGACTCCTGCTCCTCCTAAATGGGCTCCGCCTCTTCTTATGGACCAGTTTCTCTGGTGGAGCTAAAGCCAGTTTAGAAAACATTAACAAAAATGACTTCAATGATAGTTTTGTAATAATTCCGGCTCCTCAAAATGGCTCGACTCTTCTGGACTCCATGCAAGGAACCATCTATTATAGCTGTTTGGCAAGCTGTGGACCATGTTTTAAAGTAAATTAGGTTGGAGATGGCTTTAAATTATAGTTACATATCGGATATATACATCCCCATGGCTTTATGCATTCGGTTAAAGCATAATCTTTACCCGTATCCACGAACCCAATTGTCGGGTATCAGTATTAGGAATACCCGAAGGAGGGATCTGAGGACCGCGGACAACAACTCGCAAAGATAATTAAGGACGTAATTCAGTCTCGACCGACCCCGAAGGGACGGTTTCCGCCTCGCCAGACCCCTCAGGCACAGGCCCCTTGTCGCCCGACCCCGAGGGTACGGGAGCCATCTCGCCCGACCCCTCGGGCGCGGGCTTCGCCTCACCAGCGGGGTCCGTACCACCCCCAACCACTACGGGTCCAAGCGTGTGGGCCTAGGTCAAGCCTCTGACACCAAAAGGGGCACAGGCACGTCTTTACGTGACCCGTGGCCACGACAGGCCACGCCCGGGGGTTCGCATCGCCAACAGTGACAAGTGCGTAGGCGCTGTGCTGCCTAATCCCCGTACGGCCGTAAAAGCTCTAGTTTGGTTTTGGTGAATTGATGAAATCCTAAGTGCTAACCTAGTTCATCTAAGTGATCATAAGATAGGTAACATTATTCCAAGTGGTGAAGCAACGGTGAAGATCATGATGATGGTGATGTCATGGTGATGATCAAGTGCTTTGACTTAGAAAACAAGAAAGAGAAAAACAAAAAAACTCAAGGCAAAGGTAAAATTGATAGGAGCTTTTTGGTTTAGTGATCGAGACACTTAGGGAGTGTGATCACATTTAGGATCGATAGCCGTACTATTAAGAGGGGTGAAACTTGTATCGAAATGCGGTTATCAAAGTGCCACTAGATGCTATAACTCATTGCATATGCATTTAGGATCTAGTGGAGTGCTAACACCCTTGAAAACATTTGTGAAAAATATGCTAACACATGTGCACAAGGTGATACACTTAGTGGTTGGCACATTTGAGCAAGGGTGGAGAAGTTGGTGAAGTGAAGGAGGTGATAGTCACTGAAAACAGTGACCGGACGCCGTTCACGTGGTGACCGGACTCGGGAGAGTAGCGTCCAGTAATTTATAAAATCAGTGGTTTGCTCGGGCTACTCTCGGCCTCTGGCTGAACACTATTTCTGAACATTTGAGCAGGTGAACGGACTCTGGCTGAACACTGTTTCCGGACATTTGAGCAGGTGATCAGACTCTAGCTAAACACTGTTCAGCGTTCGGTCCTGCTGATGTGGTGGTGCGTAGAGAAGAGGAGGAGCGGATGAACCAGCGCGTCCTCTCATGGTGGACCGGACGCGTCCGGTCAAATAAACCGGCCCCGGTGCCTTACTAAAAATGACCAGACTCCAGTGATGGAGCATCCGGTCACTTTGAGTAGTGCTTCCAGTCACAACTTAACACGTGGCGTGAAGCAGACCAGCCGTTAAGATCGGGCGCTCAACATTTGAGGCTGAGGACACGTGGTGAGCATCGAGCGACCGAACGCTAGGGTCCTGCGTCTGGTCAATCTGACCGGCGCGTTCGGTTAGCCCGTGTTTCACTAGACAGAGGAGCCAATGACTCTATTCGTGGGGGCTCTCTATTTAAGCCCCATGGCCGGCTCAAGCTCACTCTATTGGTCATTTGCATTGACATAGCAACCTTGTGATTTTAGCCAAAGCCCTCCCACCCATCGATATCATTGATTCATCATCTTTGTGAGATTGGGACTGAATCCAAGTGCATTGCTTGAGTGTTTGCATCTAGAGGCACTTGGTGTTCGTGTTTCGCTGTAGGATTCACTTGTTACTCTTAGTGGTTGCGGCCACCTAGATGGCTTGGAGTAGCGAGGATCGTCGAGCGGAGGTTGGTGATTGTCTCCGGCTCTGATTGTGGTGATTGTGAGGGGTTCTTGACCTTTCCCCAGCGGAGAGCCAAAAGGTACTCTAGTGGATTGCTCGTGGCTTGTGTGATCCTCATGTTGTGTTGGTTGTACGGCACCCTATTGAGGGTTTGGCGTGTGATGCCAATTAGCACGTGAACCTCCAAGTGAGTGAATCACCACAACAAGGACTAGCTTGCCGACAATCAAGTGAACCTCGATAAAAAATCATTGTGTCATCATTTGATTCTGAGGTAATTGGTCTTCATTGGTATTCATTCTTGTGATTGATTGGTTTATTCCTCGATTCAGCAGTATAACCATCTTGCTCTCTCTCTTTACATTACCGCAAACTAGTTGTCAAGCTCTTTAGTGTAGCTAGTCGTGAGAGCTTATTAGTTTGGTTAGTGTGGCTCTTTAGTTAGTCTTTGAGAGTACACTAACTTAGTGGAGTAACATAGCCATTGTGTGGATAGAGACTATAGAAACTACAATTGTGATAGGTGGCTTGCATTTTTAGTAGGCTAGCGTAACACTCGCTTCACCTCATATTTGTCTAACCGGTTTGCTAAGTGTTGTTGTAGAATTTTTTAATAGGCTATTCACCCCTCTCTAGCCATTAGGACCTTTTAGGCCACTGATAGGCACGTCGGTTCACCATGCCATCCACCGGGATGGGATGGAACACCACAACCAGTTGATGATGTCGAGGCATAGCACCAGTGGTGAATAGGAGCCCGACATGGAGCCATCTCAGTCACCATCTATAGCGTCGGTGGGATCCACATGAAGGAGAAGAAGGATGCGGCGGTCCCAGAGGGCTTCTTCTCCTCGATTCTCTCTCTCTTCTCTTTTTCTGATGTAACCTGCATCTTCCCATTCTTCTATAAAAGGGGAAACATAATGCAACACAACATGGGGAGATAGGCACGAGCACACAGCTGAGCAACTGAACAAACTCTCAACACTTTTCAATCCTTCCACCAGAGATCTAGGATCTGCTTCCTCTCTCGCCCATCTGTAACCCCTACTATAACAGTGTCGGTAACACGAGCAGTAGTAGACTGAATGTAGGGACGTTCTGCCCAAACCAATACAATCCTTGTGTCCTCCATGCACACCATTTGAGCCGGATGCACAAACTAGAAATTTACTAGCCAATAATCTAA